CACATATCTCGTGCATACTAGTATATCTTACTGGATACCTAAAAGATCTTACTGGACAATCTTCCAGTAAGATCTTGGAAGACTGTCCAGTAAGATATTTTCCAGGACAACTGAGTGACTTCCTGATTGTGACTGAAAGTGCTTTAAACTATATTTCTAACTTAGACTTACATTTATGATTTGTGTTCTTTCTTTTTCTGCTTTCTGTTCTTTTTGTCAATTAGATATGTAGCCATATGCTAAATAAATAATAACTAGTATATCTTTCTGGAAAATGGGTAGGATATTGCTTTTGAGCTTATGCAGTACTAATTCATAGAGTACAGCCATCATAGGGCTACCAATTAGTATGCCCCGTCCTTGCAGGTATGTTTTACGTTCAAAGTCATAGAATGACATGTAGCAAATCAAATCAGTTAACTCCAAAATGTGCTTATGGTATTTCATTGTATTTTTGATGTTAGCAAATAAAAAGTCCCTCAAAGCACAAAAGCAAGGTTGTAATTTAATAGAAGGGTATAAGACTTTGTAATCCAAGAGAGTCATCCATTCCTTGTCCTTAGTGTAATTTTTGCACCAATTGTATTGAGTTATTTATTGAAAAGGGGTACTCTTGAATTTTTTCCTGTATAAATTTAACTAGCTGCTTTTCTATTCCAAAAGTAGGTGCATTGCATTTTTCTACCACTGGGCGTAATTCTGAGCCTGGTTTGTGTGTTTTTCCAAAGGTAAAGATTCTTGGCATTCTTGGAGCCTGAATGACAGCTTTCTCCATATTTAACGCGTTTAGTTCTTCGCCCAAGTTAACTTGGGCAGGCTACATAGCCTTACATAAAACTCAGTCCTTTCGGCCCCCCAAAAAAATTTTTGTTATTTTTTTAATTTTTAGAATGTTTTTTAAGTCTCCAAATTTTTTCAAAAATTTTTACCCGTGCAAAAAAATTTTATTGCAATTTTAATTAGCCTTTGATAAGGCTTGATTAAGGCTTAATTGTTTTTTAACCCCTTAAGTTCCCAGCAATTTTTGATATTAATTTAATTAAACATAAAAAATACTTAAAACTGAAAAAAACGAAAGAATTGCGTTAATTTTGAAGAAAAAGCTTCAAACTTTATTTTCTTTTGTCTGGCCTTTCTGTGAAATTTGACACCAATGAGTCATTGTTTACACAGCTGGATGACCTTGAACACAGCTGGAGTCGGATTTCCCAGGACATTCTCAGAACTCTCTTCAAGGGTTTAAAGTAGGGTGAGTTCTATCTCGCCATATATTTTTAAATATTTTTAAAAAATTCAAATTTTAATTGTTATTTCCAACTCCCCGACTTAATTAAACGCATATATAATAAAATATATTAATTAAAAAAATTAAAAAACTATTGGACATCAGATAGCAGCTTTAAATAACTTTACCAAAGAAAAATCCATGCACTACAACTTTAGAACGATTAATTAATTTTGATAAAAAATCCCATTAAAAAATGTACTACTGGAGTTAAGATGAATTTCCTGATTCTTTGTTATAATGTTTCTAAATAATTATCAGGTGCAATAAGACATTCTGTGTTGTTGATGTGTTCTTGCAATTTCTGGTTATAAGAATCTCGTTTGAGAAGCACTATACCCTTAGATTTACCTGCCTTTATGACTACAATATCATTCCTTTGTAGCCAATCCTTTGTTTCTTTTATGCATTTGTGGAATCGCCTTGCATTCGGGTAAACTTGTTTCTCCCTCTGCACTGAATCTTGCTTGCCATCTGATGTAATCCTGCATAGTGTTATTCATACCCTTTATGAGCAGCTTGACATTAGGTATAATGTTTTCCGGAAGAACTGTTGGAGTAAAAGCAAAAAATGGGCCATATTCCAAAGATTCAATTAAGCATTGTGGTGGAAAAATATTGTCCCAAGCAGTTATCACTATGGTTTTTCTTTTGTGTGGCCTAACACTCTGGCATCTGAACAACCATTTAAGCTTATTAATATACAGTCGACCCCCCTATAACGTGGATTCCTATAATGGAAATTCCTATAACTTAGCAAAAAAATTGTAGCAATATTCGTATAAAGGAACTCCTAAAATTGGTCCAGATTCTATCAATCTTGTCGCGACACAAGTCGGTGACAAGATTGATAGAATCTGAACCAATAGTGGATGAGCAGCCGAACTACTTTCCTCCGGCCCTGCGCCATGCTACGGAGACTTTAGGCAGCTAAATTGAGTTTGCTATCGTCTGTACAGTATTATATATAATACTAGTATATCTTACTGGATACCTAAAAGATCTTATTATAATTATATATATAATTTTTGCCGTCTAGCGCCACACTACGGAGAATTTAGGCTAGTAAGTTGAGTTTATTATCGTCTGTACACTATGTAAATTAGGTACCATAAGTCTAATACAGCACTAATTTTATACATTTCTTGTGAAAGAAACATTTCTTATTCAATGGCCATAAAAATTATTTATATTAATGATGTCTCCAAAGGTCAAGTTATTTTTCTGCGAAAAATTCGTTATCAGATATCGCGGCCGCCATTTCGTGCGCTGTTCCGCAACGAAAACAAGCTTGAGCAACGTCGTAGTCGAACGGTGCACATTCGGTAAGTAATCCTACAATTTTTTGTTTATAGCATAGTTTATACAGATTATTCCCAAAAAATTATATGTGTTTTGGAAATGTTGAGTAGAATTAGTCGGTTAATTTTATAGAAGAAAACCTTTCAAACAGCCTTAGTCTGTAAACTTCACACGTGTCGGGCTGCGATTGGCTCATGTATTTAATGATTCCTACAACGTAAAATTCGATTAACGTGGAATGTATCTAAGCGTTATAGGGGGGTCTACTGTATTTACATTTTAAATTCATTTCCAACAAACAAGATAACGTAAGGACTTTGTCATTGACCTCCCTTAACAGAGCTTGGTCTTTTTTATAAAGCTCATCTTCTAATTTTATAACATTGTGCAATAAAGAATATTACTGCCGTCTTGTATTTATAATTGCCTTATTGAGGCCATCAGAAATACTTATATCTTCTCTTATCATTTCTCAACTTGTTGCCAAAGTTGAAGCGTAATAGCCTGACAGGGTATACTCTATACCTTTAAAAGACCATATGTTTAACTCCAACCTAGTGTACACAGGAGCAACTATGCGGAACTTGAAGAAAAAAATTGATGAGCACAGATACTTAATGAATAAAAGCATTGATAGTACGGTCCTCGCTGCATGTGCCAAATAGCAGCATATCATAGTATTCTGGGATCAAGTGGCAATTATTAGAGCTACAAGATCAACACAAGCAGTGAGCACCTGGAAAAAATAGAGATTCACAAACCACAGATGACCACACAATGCATTAATCACAGAGATGCCGATGGTTTGTCATAAGCCTGGAAGTCCTTTTATGATAATATGGCTTAACATACACATCTTAATAGATGACATTATTAATTACTTACTTTAATATTTACTTAATGTATACTTTTCATTTATTTTTAATTAGCTTGTTTTAACTTTTCATTTTAATGTTTATTGTAATTTTATTAAGGATGAATATGTGCGTTACTGTTAGCATGTGCATCCACGATTTGAATTTTGTATTTCATAAATTCGAATACTTTGTTCGTTACAATGATAAAGTAACTGAAAAAGATTGCTTAAATCAATAAAAAACGTTTTTAACATATTAAACGTGGTGCTGAACTGGTGAAAAATGTTTATTTTTAGTTTAACCTTCCAACAAAATATGTAAAACATGCAAATAAAAAATACAGTCAACCTCCCTATAACGCAGTAGATACGTTCCACTTTATAAGAATTTCGCGTTGTAAAAAACCTTAAATACATGAGCCAATCACAGCCTGGCACGTGTGCAGTTTATGGACTACGGCTGTTTGAAAGGTTTTCTTCCATAAAATTAATCGATTCTACTCGGCAATGTACTACACCGGATTAAAGAAAATAAAAAACCAACATACCAGGGAACCTGTTTCCGGTGTGCTTCTCGGTAAAACAAAGTGTTACAAACATTTTCAAACTTGTAAGTTCTTCTTCAGGTAACCAACGTCTAAGCGAATGCCATTCAAATTCAATTAAAAAAAAAACACCATTAAGAATTCTATCGCACATCACAGCAACCTAAAATGCTGTCTCAAGGGTAGGGAACACACTAAGTACTTTACTGGGCAAATAGCAAAAGTAATCAGTATAACTGAAGCTACCCTTTGTGAACATATCCTGACAGAGGTCATTCGGAAAAAACTAGCCCTTCTTCCTACTAAGGAAGACCTACAAAAAATTGTATCCATTAAAGGGGAAAAACTGAAGAGATTTTAACTGAACTTAGGCTGGCAAAAGAACAGCAAAAGGCTACAACCAAATTCTTAGATTTATAAGGTTGCCTCATACAGCCGATTTAGCCACTTCCTGCCAGATTCCGGATATACGTCATCCATAGTCGAGCCGTGGCCTAGCGACTGCTTCGCTACTGTAAGCGAGGGAAGGAAATTTTGGAATTTAACTATTTTTTTAATTTGTCGAGCGTTTTTAGACTCATAATCTTCGAAGGTAAATATATCTATAATTATTACTATTATTAAACATAATTATGTTGATAATTATATCGATAAAAATTGTTCGGAACTAACAAAAGTGTTCCTAGAACAGTTTGAAATCAAAATTGATTATATTATCAAAATAACATAGATTTAACAACAACATAGATTTAAGCAAAGTACAGCGCTACGAGGAATTTACGCGTTTTGCCGCTTGCTTCGTGTTCGGGAATAATCGTATTATATACGAATCAATGAAATGACTCGATAATTTGAATCACCGTAAATTTTGAGCTTATTTTATGCTTCGAGCAGACTGCGTTATTTGGAATCAATGTTAATCGAAGCAGCGTTAAGCGGAGTCTTACTATTTTACAAAAATAATTCCTGGTATTTATCTATATTTACTGAATAACAAAAATTATATTTTAAAGAAAAATATTCCAATATCGTAAAGGCGATGGACTTTTTTTTATGGGAGATCCTTCTTCAAGGCTTCACGATGATCGAATCGTTTTTCTTCTACAGGTAAGATTACATGAATTAAATACTTAAATACAATGAATTAAATACTTAGAAATAAGTGCAAATTTCCATAATATGTTATATTTGCATCATAATAAAACTTCTAACATTAAGAAATTTTCACTATTCTGAGTAAAATTAATAACGAATAACAAACACATTTCTCGTCTAGTGGTTTTATGGTTATGTATTTGAGACAAAAGCGTGGAAACAACTCTGTGAAGCACTATATCATGCCTTTAGTCAAGAAAATTTTCAGGTAAAATATTTAATTAGTAAAATCACTAGTTCTTGGCGTAAATTTTATTTATATTATAGATTCACTTTTCCGGTAATCTTTGTTTTGGGCTTTGCAATTCTTCTGCCTCTACTCGGAGATGGTCCTCATTGGCATCGTNCCTGATTCTTGTCATGTTTGCTCTGATCATTTCACAGAAAATGATTTTGAGAGAAATTTAAAAGCTGAATTATTAGGTTTATTGGCAAGACCTAAACTAAAGAAAACTTCACTACCAACAGTAAATTTAGGAAACATAGAAAATAAAAATATTAAGCAGTCAAATGAAAGAAAAAATCATGTATTAAAAAAAATAGAAAAAACCTGATAAAAAACTTTTAGATGTAAATAAACAGGATAAAGGAAAAGAATCTCTTAACAAATGTAACAATTGTAAAACTTTAGAAGATCTTAATTTTAAATTAAAACATGAAAATTCTATTTTAAATATGAAGATTAATCATATTGAGATAAGAATGCGAGCAATCCAAAGAAATCTGAAATTTTGGAAAAGTAAAACTCATCATTCAAAAAGAACATGAAAAATTGAAAAAAATAAAAAAAGATTTTGTTATATCAATATTGAAAGGTACCTTTACAGAAACACAAATACATAATCTGCTAGAGAGAAAAAAGAAAATTAAATGGAAGAAAAAAGATATGAATTTGGCATTTACTTTGAGATATTTAAGCATAAGATCATATTTATACTTAAGAAATCAAATGAATATCCCGTTACCTGCAGTTTCGACACTTCTATGATGAGCTTCAAAAATAAATCTTTGTCAAGGCATATTAAATGATGTTATAAACATCATGAAAACTAAAAGGCTTTGAACTTTCAGAAGAAGAAAAACTTAGTTCTTCAGTTTGATGAGATGAAGGTAAATACTGTATATACTGTACTCATATTGATAAAACCACATAATTCAATAATTATTTTAATTTTCTGTTTTAACATTTTACTGATATTTCAGGTAAAGCATATATATGAATATGATAAAGTGAGGGATAAAGTTATTGGACCCAATAATCAAGTTTTAGTAATGATGGCAAGAGGACTATTTGCATCATGGAAACAACCAGTTTACATGGATTTTGATGTTAAAATGAAAAAACAACTTTTATTTACTGTTATTTCAAAACTTTTTGATGCAGGATATACTGTTGTTGCTGTTGTTAGTGACTGCGGTGGACAAAATATAGGATTATGGAAGGAATTAGGGATAAATATATTTAATACTAAATTTATACATCCATCTAATGGAAATAATATATACTATCTTCCAGATGCACCTCATTTGTTAAAACTCATTAGAAATTGGTTTTTAGACACAGGTTTTCTAACTTCAGATCATACATTAATAAACAAAGACTCGTTACAACAGTTACTTCAAATAGATTCCAATGAAGTAAAAGTTTGTCATAAATTAAAAGAAGAGCATATTACACGTCAGAAATTTCAACGACGAAATGTTAGGTTAGCTTGTGAATTATTTTCTAATTCTACAGCTATTGCTATTAAAAGATAAATTAAAACTGAAAATGCCTTAGCAGCTTCTGAGTTTATATCATCAATTAATGCATGGTTTGATGTTATGAATAGTTCAACACCCAATTTTCATTACAAAATTGATTATCCCTCTAAATGTGCTTATAGCATTAACATAACAGAACAAAATAATATACAGTGGAACCTCGGTATACGTCTGCTTTAGAATACGTCCAATTCGGAATACGTCCTGTTTAGACAAAACAAATTTTGCTCGGTATACGACTTTTGTTCGGTATACGACTTAATTCAATTATATGCGCCATCTATGAACAAGTAGTACTATCGGTGTACTACACTAGACTAGACGTTCGCGGTGCTACGGTTTATAACTTTGTTAAATTTCTCATGTTTTAATTTGTAAGTAACATTTTATTATTTATTAATCATGAATTGCAAAAGGGCAACAGAAAAATAAAAAAATGACTAGAACCACAACGGAACTGAAAAAAGAGATTATTGAGAAATATGAAAGTGGCACGCGTGTTCGAGATTTAACTGTTGCATTNAATTTTGCTCGGTATACGACTTAATTCAATTATATGCGCCATCTATGAACAAGTAGTACTATCGGTGTACTACACTAGACTAGACGTTCGCGGTGCTACGGTTTATAACTTTGTTAAATTTCTCATGTTTTAATTTGTAAGTAACATTTTATTATTTATTAATCATGAATTGCAAAAGGGCAACAGAAAAATAAAAAAATGACTAGAACCACAACGGAACTGAAAAAAGTGATTATTGAGAAATATGAAAGTGGCACGCGTGTTCGAGATTTAACTGTTGCATTCCGTATTCTGACAACGACGATATCGACAATCGTCAAAAATAAAGACATTATTAAATTTGCTAACGTTGCGAAAGGGGTTAAATCAATTTCTAAACAGAGATCGAAGACATTAGATCATGTCGAGAAATTTCTTTTGCTTTGGATAACTGAAAAACAGTGTGCCGGCGACAGCGTATCGGAAGAAATTATTTGCGAGAAAGTTAAAAGGATACATGATGATCTCATGAAAAATCAAGCAGAAACTAGCGAGGAAAGAGAGGTGTTTAAAGCCAGCTATTTTTTTACATGAGAACGGATTAATCATTTTTACATTGCTTCTTATGGAAAAGGTTGGTTTGGTATACGTCCTATTCGGTATAAGTCCAAACACTAGGAACGGGATTAAGGTCGTATACCGAGGTTCCACTGTACTTGATAATACTTACAGAATAATTGAAAGTACGAGATGTGTATCTAAAAAAATCACTTCAAACATTTCAAAAAGGAATGCTTATATCTATTAAAGATTTATTTTTCGACCTTAGTTCAAAATTTCCTAAATACCATTATATCTTAACATGTAAAGTAAATCAGGATCCTTTAGAAAATCTATTTTCACAGATTCGAACTAGAGGTGGTTTAAATGATCATCCTAGTCCACTTGAAGTAATATATAGAGTAAGAATGATAATTTTAGGCAAATCACCAGGAATATTGCAAAATAAATTAAACACAGAAGATCAGATAGCTGAAAATTATTTAATAAATGAAATGTTTGAAGA